CCTAATATCAGCCTTCCAGTACCTGAAGGGGGCTACAGGAGAGATGGGGGGGCTCTTGATCAGGGGGTGTAGTAAGAGGACGAGGGGTAACGGTTTGAAACTGAAAGAAGGGAGATTGAGATGAGATGTGAGGATGAAATGTTTTCCTGTGCGGGGGGTGAGACAGTGGCCCAGGTTGCCCAGAGAAGCTGTGGATGCCCCATCCCTGGAGGGGTTCAAGGCCAGGCTGGATGAGGCTTTGAGCAACCTGGGCTGGTGGGAGGTGTCCCTTCCCATGGCGGTGGGGGAACTGGATGGGCTTTAAGGTCCCTTCCAACCCAAACCATTTTATGATTCTATGATTCTATCTTTTTCCTAGTACAGAGGAAATCTGAAGTGCACAATTAAAGGTGTTATGCATATGAAAAAAAAGGAATAAACATAAGTTTCTTTAATGTTCTGGTTTTATCTTATCCACTACACTGTCTGGTTTCTGTCTTAGAGTAAGAAGTTGCTCCATTTGCCTTATGTGAGCTTTGGTGTTACGGGGTGCTTTCTGATGTTTTTCAGCAATATTTTATCTTGCTGATCATCACAGATGGAGAGATCACTGATCTGGACCAAACTAGGCAAGCAATTGTTAATGCCTCTAACCTGCCCATGTCCATCATTATTGTTGGAGTTGGTGAAGCTGATTTCAAAGCAGTGGAGTTCCTTGATGGAGACAATGGTGTCCTTAAGTCCCCGACAGGAGAGCCAGCTGCACGAGACATTGTCCAGTTTGTGCCTTTCCAACAGTTCAAAAATGTAAGTTGTCTTTAACTTCAGAAGAGTCCTGGTGCCAGTGTATATGCATTTATTACATCTGAAAAATGAGCATGTCTAGACAAGGCAGCAAGCTGTGCACTCAAAAGTGCTGTCCAAGCTGCTTGTTCCCAGTGAGAGCTGAGATGTTTGCTTCTGTGTTTGAAGCTGTGTGCCTTGTTGCAACTCTCTTGCAGCTTTTCTTAAATAGCTTTCATTGTATTGTTGATTTAGTGTATTATCTCTTGGCTATTGCAGAGTTAAAGGAGTAAAGGAGATGTGTTCTCTCCTGGGATGCAAGCATTTAGGCAAGGAACTGAGATCATACTGTCGGTCTCTGATGTTGAGTCCCATGAGTGATTTAAGCTAAGTCTTCCCTGCAGTTGAAAGCAGTCCTGTCATCCCCCAGCTCCTCACTACTTCTGCTGTTGGCGCTCGCATTCATGCATGTGAATTGAGATGAAGAGTGGAGTCAAATGAAAACCCAAAATCAGAGAAACTGCTAGTGGCTGGTGCAGTTTCCCACCCAGATCAGGGCCATAAAAACTTGTGAGAACAAGTAATTTTCATCAGCAGTGCTCACTGAGACTGACTGGAAGTGCTCCTAAAACTGCAGCAAGGAACTCTTGAAAACAGGGCATGAGATGCGGCAGGTGGGGGTCTGCACTCTGAATTCTGTAATAGAGTTTGTCACTGGGCTGGTAAATCCTTTCTTTGCAGTATTTCTGATTTATTCTCCATGTTCTTCTTGCAGGCTCCCCGGGAAGCACTTTCCCAGATGGTTCTGGCTGAAGTGCCCAAGCAGCTGGTTTCGCACTACAAATGGAAGGGATGGCCGCCTGTGAAACTGCTGGAAATAAAGATGACGTAGGTTACAGCCTGACCCTGGCCACCTGTATCACTGGGTTGAAGAGAGCCGTCTGGACCCACACTCTTCCTTGCACACTGTGGGGTGCTCCATGCCTCGAGGTTGTAACCATTCACACTAATTCTCTTACCCGCTTGTGCTCTGTATCTTTGATCTTTCCTGTTCCTAGTTGGAAGAAATGTAAATATGTAAAAAACCTCAACTGCTGGCAGTTTTTGTCACAAAAATAGACCTTGTTGTTTTTCCACCTTGCAACAGTGGCACGTCATACCACCCATCACTGCTTGGCACGGCCCGTCTGCTGCTTGGTATCAGAGTGGGTATGTGCACTGAGCTGCTCACGCAGCACTGCTTCAGCGCTGGGTTTGGCAGGAGTGTTGTGAATGTATTTACTGTAATCATACCTACAACGTGTTCCTTGATAGGTTTTTTTTCTTCTATCGAGCTGCCTTGGGAATGAGGACCCTTCTGTCCTGGTTGGTACCAAAGTCTGTTGGTTGGATGCCTGAGGTGCCAGTGCCAGTATATATGTAGCAGTTTATTTTTAAATTCCAGTGACCATACTTTGCAATTTTATTTTTAGTCAAGTTTTTCTATTAGCAAAAATAGCTTCTGTGATGGCCTCTGCCTTGGAGCTATTGTTGCAATTTAAGAACACTGCACTTCACTTATTTGTGGTGAGATTATTCGGGGGGTGGGATGGGATTAATGAATCACATTAATGTGATTTTCAATATCCAGCAACTGGAAACATAGAAATAAAGATGCTTTGGGTGATTTGTTTGTGTCACAGAAGTTACGAAATTATGTAGCTATCTGTGTAACTCCAAAGAGGTGCTCCCTTGTCCTCAGAAGTGTGAAGTGTGTATTATGTGGTCTGGGGACTGTAGAACAGGCACACCATAGCAAAGCACAATTGTTTTGAGAGCTGGGAGTTGATAGTTCATTTCAAAATAGAGATAAAGAAACTTGGGCTTGTCATTGCAATCCAAGTGGTCATCACTTTCAGTTTCATAAATAAATAATCTGCTTTGATTTACCTAACATGTCTGGACTCTTATTTCCTTTCTGGGCTTTTCCTTTTGTTTTCCAGCAATGTGGATGTTTTGGTTTATGGAAGGTCTTTGCTGTGGTACTAGCCTGGTGGTGATTCAGCATCTGAGTTAGCCTCGGTTGAGTGTGACCAACTGCAAAAGCAGAGCACGTTGTCCATCATCGTTAGTTTTGTTACCTGTTAATCACCAAGACTGCTGAATGTGTATCCTGCAGCCCTGTCCTGCAGCAAGATAAGCTGTTTCTTTACTGTGAAATTATGAAAGAACTTGTCTGTTCTACCAGGTAAACCAGGAAATGGTGAGAGTACATTGGAAAACTACCCTGGTGACTCAGGCTATGAAACTGGTAGGTTACAAATGCGTGCCAAAGCAGAACCTGGGCTTGAATCCACATCCTCAACTAGACTAGTTATTCTGGATGGTCTCTGCCACCAAACTAGTGTGTAGCTGGTGTTTGAAGGGCTCTGGGTCTAGGACCACTGCTGAGCCAGGATGAATTTGTGCTAGTTTTTTATTCAAACTTAGTTTTGACCATGATGTGTTCTATCAGGTCCCACAGGCAGCAGACGCCTTCCTCTAGAAAAAGGTGAGCTGTCTCTCCTGAAATCCTCCCATCATCTAGCCTGCAGCTCCCAGTTTTCTTGCACTTACTTAGATTCTTAAAAGAAACAAAGCAACCTCTCTTCTTGAGTGGCTGCCTAAACCAAAATGTATTACAAGTGCGGAAGAGAGGGAGGAAAACTTCCAAGTCTTATCTGAGAAGCTGCACTGTGGTTGAGAGCATCCTTTACTCATGTTTTCAGCTGCTTACAACTTGTAGGCAGAGCTCTCTTCCCTTTGTTACATGTACAAGCAAACCTGAAGCTGTTTTTTGTGTATATAGGGGAATTTTTTTTTTTGGTAGAGTGTTCTGTAAAGGATATTTACAGCAGTAGTTCTGAAGGCTCACCAATCTCTTATTTGGGCCAAGAAATACTGGTGGCAGTGTGTAGTGCTTGGCTTCAATGAATGATTCATCAGAAGTGTATTGGGACTTTCCTTTGCTCCAGCCTTGAGGGGCAGAAGATGAGCTCCGAGACAGAATGTGTAGTGGGAAGGTCATTTCACCTCTCCTTTTTAAACCTGTGCCAGTTCCCACTCAAAAGAGTGAATCCTCTGTCCCTCTGCACTGGCTGTGAGCAGTGGAGTCACTGTCTGTTCTGCAGCTAGCCGAGGTGTCTCCAGCTGCTGCGCTCATTGATGGTAGGAGAGGCTTTCCCTCTTCTGGGGAGGAAGAGGCCAAGATGTGGCAGACGCAGGTCTGAGGAAGTTCCTCCTCCTGCAGGAGCAGAGGAGAGTTTGGGGGAGATGCTGTTTACCCACAGGTCAGTGGCTGAAATATGAACGAGCAAAGGGACATGAGTCCTGTGGCTGTCACTTGAGGAGAACGGTTGTGCTGCACGGTTGTGGGCCCGGGTGAAAAGCCATGGGAGCATCAAGCTTGGAAGCTGCTGAGCCAGGACAGCACAGTTTTGTCCATTTTCTCTCATTCTTAACTCTCCCCAGGGCTCCTGGTGTTAGAGACAGTGAAGATGGCTGCTAGGTGCTCTGGTGAGACCCTGTCTCCTGCCTTGTGCTGCCCTGGGTGTAGCTGGAATGCAGATTTATAGCATGGTTGTCGCTTGAGGTAGATGAGAGCCTAGGTTTGAGCTCAGCTCAGGTTTTCTTCCTCGGGAGAATGTGCTATTCCTGCCCCGTGCTGGTGCGTACTCCCGTCATCCCGTATCACTCTCACACTTCATCTCCATGGTGAGCACAGGGAACACCCCAGAAATCTTTTTACCCTGCCCTTGGCCAAGACTGAGCAAGCACCCTCGTACTTGCGATCCCCTAAGGTATTTCAGCTTCAGGGCTTTGTGTAAATCAAAAGCTCTTGCATGTGAGAGCTCATCAAGGAGGCTTTTAAGGACATCTGGCAATAAATACTGGTGACACTTCATGCCAGACTATGGCATGCTACCTGACAGAGCTCCTTCCTCTATGAGCGATAATGCTCCGTCTCCCTTCTTTGCCCAGGCAGCTTGTTGGGCTAAGGGCCCTACTTGGGGTCTAAAATGTTTGGTTCCCCCAGGGACTGTTTCAGCAAAACTGAGGCGCCGTCTTCAGGTGAATGCAAGTGATGGGATCGCTCCAGGTGTTTAAGGAAGCCACACAAACACCACTGGGAAATGATGGCTTTTGATCAGCTTTGAGCAAATACTGGATCCACCCATGAGCGACACACTTTGGTGGTCTAAATGCCTCATTAAAGAGCCTGAATTGCACCTTGTGCCCCCCTCCAGCCATGACTGGGCACGAGTCAGTGCACTGAGCTTTCTGTCCTGCTTTAAACTGATGGGCTCACTCGTTTGGGTTCACAAAAGCAGTGCTGAATTCTGCTGGTCTGCTATGTTTTGTTGCTGCACTGTGAAGTGGCATCCTCTCACCACAGTTTGTTTCCACCAGCGCCGCTTCCCTGGGCCCCCAGGAAGCTCTTGGGTAAGAGGGAGATAAAGGGAATAACCACAGGGCTTACTTCGAAGCAGCCCAGCATTGCACAGGCATGATTTGCTCCTTGGTGTTTGCGGAGCCGGATTAGCTGCCATGGCCTGCTGCAGGGCACCCCGCACAGCGTGCATGGATGCAGGTGTTGGGTGCTGAGTGGGTCAGCCAGACCCCCCTGAGGAAGAAATGCTTTCCCAATCCTGTTGAGCTCATGATTGTATGATTGCTTTAATCTGGCCCGAATCTGCTCTGGAAGGGCTCCAGAATCTCTTGTTTACCAGTCCTTGTGCAGGTGAGATGCCCTGGATCAGGTAAAGCCGGTGAGCGTGGCTGTGAGCACAGCTGGCACGATGTGCCTCAGGTCTCCCTCCTGCACCCTTCTTGCTGCGAGTGGCTGGTGCTGGTGTCCAGTGCAGCAGCTGCTCCTGCCCCACTGTCTGTGGATTTCAGTGCTTGTCTCTGTCCTGCAGAGAGCTGGCACTTGGGCTGCAGCCACAGAGAGTGCTACCCACCCGCACCAGTGCAGCTCCTGGGGTCCCCGACATTAGTGTGCTCCTGTGTGGGGGGCGAGCGGGGGCTGCTGGCACACGCTGTCCCAGCGCAGTTTCCTCATGTCAGGGGAACCCAACCCTCTGAATCAGAAGGCTGCGAGCTGGCTTGGCCAGCTTCCCTTCCCCACCCTCCCTCTGTTTGCTTTGGAGGGTTTTAACCACAGAAGCCCTGATTTTG